GCAGCGGTATATACCGAAACAAATTAAGTGGAACCAACAAATTCCTCATGCACAAACTATTTCCTTTTGAGGCTGGCCGGATTTATTTTTCATAGCATACTTTTGCGGGCAAGGTTTGAGCGAAAAAGTTGCCTGTCGAAAGTTGACCTACTAAATTGCACTGAAATTCTCATAAATAAACTATTTTCTTATGAGAGATGGCGAATATTTTGTACATAGAATTTGTTTTTCTATTAATGGTTATGGTGGCTAAAGGGGTCTTATTATTAGAGGTGAGTTTTTATGTTTAGTAAAAGTTTAGAAACTTTTTTAGATGGTATTTTAGAGATAATTTGGTGGGATTAAAAAATATTATTAGCGATATCTCATGATTCGCTTAAGCTAATAGCTAAATCAATATTTTTAATGCATGATTAGAAACTTATTTAAAGGATTTTAAAATAATAAAAACGGAAATTATTGTAATTTATTATTATTTTCATTATAAATCTCATTTTTTTTTAACAAATGAGTTATTTAATTTATTAAGCAATCCATTCCATTTGATACTCCACTAATGAATTCGTTTTGAACTGCGTTTTTAATGCGACACATTCTTGACAATAAATGCATAATTTTTCATTTTCCGAAAAAAAAACAACTTGAATAATGACGAGCAATTTATGAACTTGTAAATCACTTATATCCAATTAATGGCTTCAACTCCTGCGGAGAATATGATCAACTTTTCGGTAGGAAACTCGCCAAGCAGCCTTTCATTGTGTTTGCAATTTGTGAACTCGCCTCATTTTCCTCTCTCTTTTTTTTTTTTATTGTATTTTCTTCACTTCTTTGGGGGTAATCATGCGAGCAATTAAGCTGCTCTCGATTGACGCTAATTAATGAACAGCATTAAAAATTATTATGTGTGAAGCAAAGAAACGGCGCAAATATGACAGCCTTTTCAAGAGAGACAGCTCTGCCACGCCTACCGCCGTCACAAACCGCCCATCCACATCCACATACACAATTTCAATTTTCGTGCCATGTAATTTGCGTGGATAATTTATATGCACGGCAGGCGTGTATAGAAGATGCTACTCTCCATCAGCACCTTATCCCCCAGCTGGCAATATCGCTCCTGGTGCGAGATGAAATAAATTTTGCAGCATCATTTAAGCTTAATTAAGACATCCCAGCCGCAGGCGATGATGGCCAAAAGAGCAGCGAACAGCGAGCAAAAGGCGGCCACAAAAGCCTCCCAATGCACCGTGCTCAACATAAATAAATGAGTGACTCGATCCTGGAGTGGTTCGGTGGGTTTCCGTTGGGTTCCATGGATTCTGCGGTTCAGGGTCCAGGGTCTATATGGTTGAGTTGACGCGTTGAGTGGCATGGCCGCATGCATATTCGAGGGGCCAACGAACATCTCAATGCCCATTTGATTTCCAGCCAACTCACGATTCCACGCATTAAATCGCTTAGACAATGTCAAAAGGCATCATTACTCAAGGAGCCGCTGGCAGGCCACGTTCAAGACCCATCCAATTGCCCTCGTCATCTCAAATGAGTGCGGCGATAAAGTAGTCAATAGAGAAAGAAGGGCTAGGAACGAGGTTGTGGAAGAGGGTGTCGAATTTGGGATACCTAGTAGTCGTTCATGGCTATTCCTTCAATATTTCTCGTATAATTTGCAGTTAATATCTTAAGACAGCGTTGATATCTCTCAACCACTTAAAGAAGCACAATATACCCCTCTTTATACACCATCACCAGGTATAAACAAGAGCTGGAAACAAGAGGACGAACTGTAGAGTCAAACAGAAAGAGAAGGTTTCCGTGAAACTCGATATCCAGCCAATGTTGGTTTTTAATTACCGCAGCGAAGGCAGCGAAATGTAACGATATTTACTATGAAATTCAATGCCATTAAACACAATTAAGTGCGTTGGGGGAACCCGTCTTCCTAAATTACAGCCCCAACATAAGCAGGCAATAATGGGGGTTGGCTTTTGGGTGGGCGGGCTTTATAAGCTAAATTCATTGAGCCAACGGTTCAAAGTGTTGCACATTACGCATCATTTCAGTCGACTTTCAGGACCTGCGGCCCTTTTTCAGCCATATTCCTTGTGTGACGTCTCTCCGCCGAAAAAGGGAAATGGGTGAGAGCAGCGAAAAAAAAAAGAGAAAACGCCGAAACAAAAGCGTGAAAATTGCAAAAGTTTTCTTAATTGCTCTGCGCGGCTCGTCAACGTTGTCGAAAATTAAGGGCAAATATGCAAAGTCATTGTGTGAGTGGGTGAAGTGAGTGGGTTGGGATCTATGGGATGGGTTCTTTTTTGGAGGTTGGCAGAAGGCAGGGGTGAAGGTGACTGGTGGAATGGCCTAGCCCCCGTAATGATTAAACCAACCCCCCCCCTCAGACACACACGCACATGAGGAGAAAAAGTGGGAAAACACACACTCGACTGGCACCCACTTGCACACATGCCGCTTTCCCATCGGCCTCAAATGAGGAAAATTCAGCGGTGGCAATTGAATTCGAATTTACTTGCTGCTCAAAGACCAACCAGGCTGGTTTATTAAGGCTTTAATCAAGGGAAAGTCTTGGTGTTTGTAAATTTGAGTAAGAAAATAAATAAAAACTAGATTTAGTCAAGATTTGATCCAGTGGATTGCCCTATAAACTTCAAAACTAAAGTTTGCTCTTCAGAACTTAAAACTAATTACAGAAAATTAATATTTTATAGTTCTGAGCAATCAACTGGCTTATAATGATATCCCTAGTATGAAATCCGGATTATATTTGCAATAAATTTTCGACTATTGTTGCCGTTCACTCAGGGATTGCAGGAACTCACTCGATTATGGGGATTTTCTCATAATAACTCTACCCGAAAGCTACACAGAACGAGGACCACAAAATGGCATGTCTTATAGTTGCATTTGGGGAATAAGAGCAACATTAACATGAGTGTAGTTAACAAACCACTAAGCCGAGCAGCGACAAATGCACAATGTCCTGCGGGTCGAAGGATACAGGATGCAGAATGCAAAATGCAGTAAGCCAGACAGATAGACAGAAAGGAGGTGCATTTGCCAGCTGGGTAAGTGGTGACTGTGGTGCAGCTGATGCCAATTGCAGTGGAGAAGTTGAAATTAAATGCCACATTCACTCAAATTTACCCACATTAAGCATATTGAGCTTGCCACGCCCACACATGCTTGGAAAAGCGCGTCACTTGGGCGGGGATGGGGAGTTCGACTGGATTTTCCCAGCTGCCTTTTGTTTAATGAAGCCGAAGTTGTGGCTATGCAGAGAGAGAAAAAATGAGAGCCAATTTAAATTAATAAATCTTGTTAATAAAGCAACTTTAGGAAGTATTTTTAGTAAAGAAAAATTAACCAAAAATCCAATCAGAAATCAATTAATTTTTATAAAAATATTTATCTTTGGAAAAGGATTTTTTAAGGGCGCTTTTTTCTTAGTAATCCCTCATATTATTTCTACCAAAAGTGATTTAAATCAACCATAAATCAATAGTTAATACCCTTTCAATATTTTTTCTGTGTATTTTATGTGCGTTTGAGGGCGTGCATGTGGAAAAACAGTTTTCGAATGAATGCAAGTTTTAATCCTTGAAATATGATTTGAGTGCAAATATTTTGCATAACCATGAGCCCGACAGTGAAAAGGGTTCGCCGCAGAAAAAGAAAAGGGAGACTTGTGGTTGCCATCTGTGTGTGTATGTAGTTGTGACACAATTCCGCTTGTGTGTGTGTGTGTTTGTGTGTGTGCACTTGTACTTGCCAACCGCAAACACTTCACTCGCTTGAAGGTTGCCTCCTCTTTCTCCCTTCCCCCCTCATACTTTCTGCTTTCTCTTTCCCGCCTTAACCCCTTTTCGTTCCTCGCAACGAAGAGCTGGAGCCACAGACCCCGGTGGCAGCCTCACTTCACCGATGTACAGTGCTTTATATTCTGGAAAATATGACAAGCAGAAAATATATCTTAAATAAATATTTTGAATTATTAATAAAACATACAAATGGTTACTTACAGATTTTCAAAGGATACCTTTAGATAAATTTACTGTTTGGTTGCTTTGCTTCTTATCGCAGAAGCTTATTTTAGTTAAATAAACTCTTCTCTTTGATCTGAGGGCTATTAAATTCATAGATTTAGGCAATTATATCCTGAAATGGCTTTATTCTGAAGGTTTCTGCTTTCTATATTGAAGCTTAAATGAATATCATTTGATATATCTAAAAATAAAATGTGAATAATAACTTTTAGGCAGTGTTTCAGTTTTGTTTTTCACAACTTTACCTTTTTCCATGATCTACTTCCAACGAAAGTTATTAAGGTAATCTATCTTTAGACTTTGGATCCTTTCCCCTTTCATTTCTCAAGTTACGAAATAGTTTACTCAAAATGGCAACACCCCATTCCCACTGCCTGCTTCTTAAAAATGCATTTGCCCATTAGCCCCTGGTCATCATTCAAATTGCTAGTAAATACTCCTGGGCCTAATACCCTAGCCCGAAGCTAGTTGGACTCACCTTTCGACCACAGAGCTTCCAGCAACATGACACTTTTAATGAGCAAAGTTAGGGCGGTACTCGAATTGGAACCCCAAACCTGCATGACAACTGCATCCAAAGAGTGTTAGTCAACGTGTTAGGGCTCTTTTATTTGGGGTGGAAAGGGGGTGTGGAGGAGGCGTAGCCGAGTGACTGAATGAATGTAAATGTCATTTTGTGTGCGACTGGCATGCTACACAAATTTCTTGCCAACAGCTGCACTTTGGGTTTTTAATATTTTCGTGGTGAACCGCACAAAGATAAAAGGTTCACATTTGCATACACATGTGCCACAGGGGGTGGTTGGGAGGGAGGGGGGGATTTAGGTTTTTAGATGCATTTGTGTCTATTTGCAGCTTTTGACTTTTTCACACCGAAAAATTCACTTCTCACTGCGTTTTCTTTTCTCTTTTTTTTGGGAAACCATTTCATTTCAGACATGACAAACGGCGGTGTGCAGGGACCCATCGAGGGCTACAATTCGCTGGACGACCTGCTGACAACCACAGCGACTCCGGGACAGGCGGCTTTACTCCTGCCCACCGCACCCACCGCCGCTTACACCCATCCCAAATGGATGGAGCCCTACTTCGATCCCTCGACGCCGCGCAATGTCACCGCCCTCATGGGCAAGTCCGCCTATCTCAGCTGCCGTGTGCGCAATTTGGCCAACAAAACGGTGAGTTTTTGCTCGAAGATGGGGCACTTGAAGAAAATGGCTGTAAGCTAATGTTAAGGATTAATATTCAACTTTTTAAATCACTTTTATTTGGATTTTATACATGCTTATTTCCTTAGAAATTGTGACAAAGAAACATAATTTCCTTGGTCTATAAACATTCTTGTTGCCTCTTATTTCTTAAAGTGTACACCTAGTGACTCCCTTTTTTTGGCTGGGGACATTCGGGGTTAACAGCGTACTCGTGTCGAAAAGTTTGTTGTCGTGCGTGACGACAACGAGTCGCCTTGCCATTAAAGTTTGCGCCAACTTTCGTTTATTCTCCATGCGCGGAATAATTTTTATTTTTTGTGACCAACGAACGCCGCCGCCTCTTGCGTTGATTTCTTGGCTGATTTCCTAACCTGGTCGTCGACGCGTAGACTAAAAATGTAATTCCCCTAGCATGACGGCAAAATTTTTAATTAGTTCCTTAACCTTACCCCCCTTACGCCGCCTTTTGTTTGCGTTTTGCGGTAAGGCGACTTTTAACTTGCCTCCAAGTTGTTGGTTTTTTTTGGGTTTTTTCTTTTTCTTTTGAAAATTTAGCAATTTTATTCTTACCATTCTCTTTTTGTTGTTGTTCTGTTGTTGTTTTGCAATTGTTTCCTTTGTTTATCTGCTTTAATTGCCCCCGTTCCCAAGATTTTCCCGGGTCACAAGAAAAAGGTCGCCCCGAGGCAACCTGCTGCTCCTCCAGGAGCCTAATCTTCCAGTGTTTTCTGCTGTCACATTTAGTCGGTGTATAAAAATTCAACCCAGATATATATTCATGTGTTTTGTAAGCGTTTTGTTGGATTTAATTAGGGCACATGGGATGCCGGGTTTGGCCTCCTTTTAAAATGTGTTTAATGAAATGAATATAATTGTCAAAGGTGACGGCAAAAGGGGATCAACTTTTCGGCCCACAGATAGGTTTATGAATAATTAGGCAGACAGGCGAATGGCAGGCGATTAATGTGACTGAAGGACACACGTCTGTGCCCCAGGAGATGCTTTAAAAGCCTCTGAAAAACTGTGGAAAATTTGCATATAGATGCTTGCCAATTCTCATTTTCGCCAGGGGGAGGGAAAAATGCGATGCCGAAAACCAACAAACTTTCAACACGCTCGCTCGTGAGTACTTGACACAAATGCGCCACCAGGAAGTGGATCCCGCTGGCAGCCAGTGAAATGGAGATGCGAATGCGGATGCGGATGCGGATGGCGTTGCAGGATGCCGTTAGCAGGGCGCAACTTTTAATTTCTTGCCAAACAAAAGAGGAACGAGTGGCAGTTCCCAGAAAACTCACCCATGTCGGCTAACACATACATCAACTGTTCAACCTCAAGTGGGCGAGCCTTTTTGAGCTTTGGCCCTGCCACGCCCACGCCCACGCAGCTGGCCCCCTCCGGCTTCAGCACTCTCAATTGCATTTGAGCGCGAAATTATTTAAACAATTTCATGAAATTGCTCTCGCCGCACGCGTCAACAGCACTTGGCTCACAGTCCGAGTTGTACGAAGCCAAAAGTTGCACTGCCGCCACAGAACACCACCCTGACGCAACACCACCCTTTCTGCACCACTTTGCACAACCACCCAGCCACCCTGGTGGCTCAATGACTCCCCCCACTGGGCACGACTTGCAACTTGAAGCGGAATGTCGAGCTGTTGTTGCTGTTTCTGATGTTGTACACGGAAAAGAAAAAGTATCTTAAATTTGAAATAAATTTAGCCCTGATTTAAGTTACTTTAAATGAAATATTATTTTATACGAATTTTCTATTTTTTGTTTATTTCAAATGGTTGGTTAAATATTAAATTTTTTGAAAGTTTAGTTACGAATTTCAATATTGATTTGTGATCCCCTTTTTTGCCCTCTGCACTTGCTGTTCATATTGCAGAGGCGTTGCTGCTAATATGAGACCCACCCCGAACCCCATCAGCTTGGGGTTTTTGAGGGGGGGCGTGGCTCCATTACAGCACCGCATGCAGCACAGCGTGCACTTGTTAATTACGCTTTAATTTGTTGCGTAAAATGTTTGTTTAATGGCGGCGTTGTCGTTGCGAGTGTGCAGGAGTTGTCAAAAGTGCGAGCGCCATGTTTTTCTCACTTTTATGCACTCTCGTTGCACATTCACAGAGCCATCCATGAACCTAAAAACGGGATCCAACCCATCAGGATAGGACCCTATCCATGCCCGTGCTACTCCTTAACCCGAAAACGGTATTGTTCGAAGGCGGCCCTCGAAAGTATGCAACAACATTGCGTATAATTAAACGCACGCACACGCAGGCTTTCTTTTCAGCGAGAGAAAGAACCATCTATACGTACGTGGGGGCGTACGTATATGTGGGCACTACTATACTGTCAAGTGCGATAATTTTGCATTTACATTTGACTTAATAAGTTTACATAAGCCGCCTGCCAGCTTACAAAGTTATCTCTGTGCACCGCAAACTACTTAAAAAGTTTGTGATAATTAAGCAAAGCCAAAAACAGCTCGAGCACGACCAGCAGAAGCAGCAGCAGCAGCAGTGGCTCCTCCACTAGAGATTTCCGCGGAGATTCCGCTGAGAGATTTCCCTCTTATATTGCCTTAGCCCGAAAAAAAAAGAAATTTAAAGCAGCTCGTCCTCACACGTTGCTCATACGTCACGTACGCCCAGTCGAAAAAGGATGCAAAACTTTTTTATATATCTTACATCCGTTTCAGCGCGAATTTTTAGCTCCTTCTAGCTGGCTTTTATTCGATTTTGATGGCACTGCGTCGGCAATTCGTTTTCAATTGCTGCATTTTTAATGGGACAGGCGGCTGCTCAAGGAGCAGACAAATGGCGCGATTTTACGAGTTTTCAAATAACCTTATCGTTCTGCGTGCAACTTGACTAATTGAATGTGATGCGAAGCGGTAAAGGAAGAATATCCATGCGATTAGCATATTTTGGCAGGAAGAAAGCACAGGAAGGTCAAATTTTCTCAAAGTTTGGTCTTAAAAGTTTTTCTTTAATGGTAAATCCTTGCAGATTTGAAGTCTTGGTATTATATTTTATATTTCCTATTAAACTAAAAAACTTTCTTTCTTCTTTAAACTACACACTTTTCTTAATCCAATTCATGTATTTTCGAAAACAAACTTACTAATTTATCTGCCCGGTTAAATCTCATAAATTCCGCCGACCAATACAGGCTCTCCATTAAGTTGATTACCCATTTTTCTCTAGAAGCCCTTTCCCCAGAAGAGCAATCCTTTTGATTTAGCCTTGTGCAAGAGTACAAATATTTGCGATTGTTTTGGAATTTTGCAGGTGTCCTGGATACGGCACCGCGACATCCATATACTGACAGTGGGCTCATACACCTACACCTCCGACCAGCGATTTCAGGCCACACATCACCAGGACACCGAGGACTGGACTCTGCAGATAAAATGGGCCCAGAAACGGGACGCCGGCATGTACGAGTGCCAGATATCGACGCAGCCGGTCCGGAGCTATTTCGTTCGCCTGAATGTTGTCGGTGAGTTGAAGTTGAAGTGGGGTCGGTATTCCGATGCCCGATGCCGATTCGGTTTCAGTGCAGGGCTTCATAAAAAATCCACCATTTGTCGTCGCAAATAACAAAGGGCACTCGGTGAGCGGCTGATGACAAAAAACCAAAAAACCAAGAAAGAAAATGCTGGAAAAAACCGAAGTTGTTGAACAAATAAATTACACACAGCAAACGAGTGAGCAACACGCACGGCCAAGGAAGAAGCAAAGGCAATGGCAAAGGCGATGTCGATGGAACGTCGAGGACTTGGTTTTTATACGACAATAATTCCATTTTATCTCGTACTTTATTATTCTACAGTGCCAGCCAACGAACAGGGCCCACCTCTCATCCTTTTTTATATTTTCCTCTTTTTTGGACATTTTTTTCTCCATGCACTTACATTTTCCACGCCTTGCTCTATCTTTTTCGGTGTCTCCAGTGCCAACGGCCACCATCCTGGGAGGTCCTGACCTTCACGTTGATAAAGGCAGCACCATAAATCTCACTTGCACTGTAAAGTTCAGCCCCGAACCGCCGGCCTACATCTTCTGGTATCATCACGAGGAGGTAATTAAAGTCTATTGTCGTAGAGATGGTGGCTCATCTCAACTACGAGGTTAACTGAGGGGTATATAATGACAGTTAATTTGGCTTTTGTATAATTTAATTACATATAATTTTTGTAGTCATAGAAATTAAACAAAATGTTAGACGAATTTAAAGCGATTTTCCATCAAACTCCAAGGTTGGCTATCAAATAGCCACAGAATTTTCCCTGTCACCCCACAAAGTAATCCCGATTTTAACTTATTTCTTAACCATGCTAATTGCCGTAATCAGCAATATTTTCTTCTCTTAACAATGACACATGTCATTCCCAACTTGGAGATGTTGGCTTCCTCTCAAATCAGAAAACTTCAATCCCCCGCAGGCGAACTTCGTTGCTCATACGCCACCGGTTGTCAGCAAAAGTTATCCTCCCCTTTAGCCTTCCGCTGACACTTCCTTGCCGCATCCTTTCTCGATTTCAGCGAGGACCCTCATCAGGTTTTTGGCCATTTCCCATCCGCCCCGTTGACCCCTTCAACATTGTTTAAACGTCAGCTGTTGTTATTTTAATGAGTGAATCAACGCCCTGGTTATCCTGCGTCCTTCACACATGCAAATGCAAATGCCGAGCGACGGATAACTGGGTCAATGGCGGACAGGTTATGTTTAAATTACCGCTGGTGACAGAGGGTTGGAGAAGAAACCAAGAAGAGAGCTTTGGCAGATCGACTTATCATCCTGTACTTAGTTGGTGTTTTCGCTTCTGCCAATTAGTCCTTTTGTCTTAGCCAAGTTAAGCAGCATCCACTGGATGGCTAATTGCAGAGTGCTAAATCCGCAACAGTTGCACGCTAATTGCAATGCAAAAGCCAAACAAAATATCAACAGAAAGAAGGTCCTGGAAAAAAGGCAGCCCGGTGTTAAATGCGCTCCACACACAAATCCGGCCAACAACTGCTGCTGCTGCTACTCACTTCTTGCACAGCCACTTGGCGTATTTTAATGTATTCCTGGAATTTTCTAATTAAAATCCTTCCTACTAGTACAGCTACCTGTACACAGGTATGTCTGTGTGTGTGTGTTTGTGTGTGAAGAGTGGCCGCAGGAACCTTAACGCGTCCTTGCTGCAGGCTTTTGTAAAGTCCTGCGCTGTCCTGTGCTCCGTGCTTCGTGCTCCGTGCTCCGTGCGCTCGGATTATTTACGATCCATGCAAATTTGCTGTTAATTAGTTTAATGGATGGATAAACCCAGTTGATGCACTTCCACCGCGGCCGCCTGAAATGCATGCCACACTTTTTGCCTCGCACTTCCGCTCGCTAATTGTAATTAACGTGTTGCATATTTTCACCTTTTTCCGCTCCTCGCCATCATCTGAGGTCAGGTCCTTGACAGCTCAGCTAGCCATACATATGTGGTGGCTAGCATGCCGGATGCATTCCGGCTAATTCCGGGCCAATATCTGGCATTTTCAATTTGCCTTGACTGTGGCTTGGCCCCTTATTCAATATTCAAGTTGAGTTTTCAATCGTTTGTCCTTCTTCTTGAGTGACTTTTATGTAGTTCTGATTTTTTATGGCCCTCTGTTTTGGTTTTTATGCTCGAAATATGCGGGCGATTATTGCGTTCGGGGAGTGCCACATAAATCGGATATATGCGCATTTTCAATGAGCTGCAAACATTTTACACGAATATTTTATTTACGTTCAGCCATTGTTTGGCAGTGTTATTATTATCTTTTGTATAGCAATCCCGATTCCTATCCCCATGCCAATCCCAATCCCAATCCCAATCCCATCTGATCCATCCAGATTGTGGAAGTCAGGAACAGCTGCAATTGTCATGAAAATTGCAGGCGGCACGCCATGAATTTTTTAAAACTACGAATGGCAGAATGTTTTTTCAATTTATCAAATGACAAACTGCAGATTCGCATTTATTCCAACTCGCTGATACCGACTCGGCCCCCTTCCCAGTCACTCCCTCAACCTCCCGCTCATTAACTAATTTGTGCCGAGGGCAGAAATATTATAATACAAATATGAAATTTATGCCGGAGTCAGCAATAATGGAGCCAGGATATCGTGTCCCGACTGATAGGCAAACTTTTCACTTGCCAAAAGTTTCTGCGACAAAGTTTGTGTCATTTTCATTGTTTTCATGACTGATATCCAGTCTTTTGAGGGTATATTTGAGTTGGGAAAAGGAAAATATATTGGCAAATATGGTGTGAATAAGTTCAGAAGCCTCTTAAGAAATTTAAAATATTTTTAGTATTACAAATTCTGTTACAAAAACTGCAGCCACTTCTTCTGCTTTTACTCTAAAAGTTTGCTGATTGTTAAAATTGTGAATTATTTAAACTATAAAATACTATCAGAAATGGCTTCCTCTTAACCATAGGAATCGTGCAATCAAGGCACTTCCGTGATCGGTATCAATGGACTGATTTTATCCAATTTCCTGCTGTACTTCTTGATGGCTATATCTATTTGGCCATCGTCATCATTATCAGTGACGCTAACTTTTCTTTCATTCCTCAAACTATTGCAAATGTCGTCGATTAGTTGGGATTAGATGGCAAATTATGCTCCAGGCAGTTGGCCTGGCAGTCCTTGGCCAAGGGTTGTGAGCCTTCTCATTTCCGTCGTTCTTCCTGCTGTTGTTTTCATGATTTTCTTTTTGTTTTTTGTTGGTGGCAAAGTCTTTGCCCTGTCAGCGGCATTATGTGTTAATATCAATTCTCTTTCAGCTCTGTGCTATCGTGAACTTTGCCTCCATCTCCTCCCTTGCCCTCTGTGTATTGGCAAATTATTCCGGTATTTGTTTCTGTCAGCTGGAAGGGAGCGACTTAATATGCATTCAGCTGCTGTTTATATCCAGTCCTCGACAGGAGCTGCCATTCAGCAGAAATCGATAATATCAAGTCGACTCCGATGGCTGCCAGAAAGTAATAATCATAATGACACTGGAGGAGCCTTAAACCAGCTTGATTCGCACGAAATTTCATGGCATCTTTGATGTCGAGAGTTAACTTTAATCACGAAACTCGCTCGAATCGAATTCCAATTAAAATCACATTTTCTACGACTGTCAGTCGATGGCATGCAATTATTTTGCAATTCAAATTTATAATTTTAACAACGAAAGATGAGATGAGAAAAGAAAATCAAAAGTGGGAAATTACAAGACAGTTTTCAGTAAATTTATATTTATTTTTGTTTAATTTTTGGGTTGGGTCAAAAATGACATTAGGAACAACAGCCGTCGCAACAAGAAAATTTCCTGTTCGGGCACTCATTGTTTTGACATTATTCGGGTCGCGGCGAAAAAGGAGTGGGCGTTTGTATACATGGAAAGTACTCATGAAAATGTACACTTTCTCCTTCTCCATCCATTTGCAGGTCATTAATTATGATTCATCAAGAGGCGGCGTGTCGGTAATTACCGAAAAGGGCGATGTGACAACCTCATTTCTGCTCATACAGAATGCAGATCTGGCCGATTCGGGCAAATACTCCTGTGCGCCCTCCAATGCAGATGTGGCCAGTGTGCGTGTCCATGTCCTAAATGGTAAGTACCCTTTTCCCTTCTCCCCCTTTAATACCACCCAAAAGTAACAGCATACCCAGCCCAAAATTGTTGCCATCCTCTGGGCAAATACTCGAATGCCCCGCCCATGAAATGCCATTTGTAGAAGAGCGTTTACATTAACTGACAAACGAACATTCGACAGCCACGCTGGCATTTTGTTTTCTTTGTTGCGTTTCAAGCTCCGCTTCACACAGAGAAATTCGCATGCAGTTCGTGCTCTCGACTATACAAATTGCAGATCCAATTTGCATATAGTTTTCCCCCCACTTTTTTTCGACAAAAATGCACCATGTGCCTATTTTTGGACACTTGGAAAAATCTTTCTTAAACGATGGAAAGAAGGGATACTGGTTTGGGGACCAGAAGTCTCTCTACTGAGTTTTTACATAATTTACATATTGTTTTCACTTCCCTTTTTTCAGAAGGAAGATTATTTAGTTGATTTATTTAACAAAAAGGAAGGTTCCTTTCCCTGAAGGCTTTTTATCCCCCAAAAATCAGTTTTCTTTTACATATTCACAGCGATCTTTAGTTTCTTTGGCAGTTTAAGCAGGACATAAATTTTTTTTATAAATATATAATATATAAACCGTTTTTAAGCCCCTTCAAAATTGATTTCTTTCTGTGTTCAAAAATTTTCCATCAGACTGGCAGATCTGCTTTCGCATCTGAATACATGTATCCGTGACAGGGCGTTACCCAGCGGGACGTTTTATGAAGTTGAATGGTCTTGGCCCGAAGGCTGGACCGATCCAGATCCACCACTGGAACAGTGACCTCTGAATTCAGTACCCTAAGCCCCCTGCAAACCCTGCAAATCCCTAACCACTGACCGCCTTGACCCATTGAAAAGCGAACAGAGCCCGGCTTCCGATTGCAATTTCGGCTCATTTCCGCCTGCATGCCAGGATGCCCGTGACTCTTTCACAATTGACCAGTCCAGTCCGGTACGGTTCGAGTCCTTAATAAATTGTGCAGGAACTTAGTTCGCTTGATTTCCACCAGGACCACAAAAGTGCACTACTGCTGTACCAACAATCTCGTCTCCCGTCTCGCCAAACTGGAAATGGCCCAATTTTCGGTTTGAAGTTTTGATGTGACCCACGGGGCCAGAGCAGAGGGGTTCGCAGCACATAATCGCATCAATTATGAGCAAATTAATTAGCACACTGCGGTTAATTGCAGTTAAGTGAGTGCCAGACAGAGTCTCCCTTAGAGTTGTCCTCAGAGTTGCCCTCAGAGGCGGCCGGGAAAAGGATTTCCACCCGCAACAAAGACGGATGCCGGCGACATTTACAAATTGCGAATGGGACTCCGTTGGGCGGTGGAATTGTTGCAATTTGCCAGCATAATCGTTGTCGATCGTCGTGGATTTGACACAGTTAAAATAAATTACGTAATTGTAAAGGCCAGAGACAAGGGCGGAAAACAGAGAGGGAATTCCCTTCGACAATGACAACGAGTCCTATACAATTTGAACTTTTGGATTGGCGGGGATGGGGTGTGATAGTGGGTGTGTGGGATGGCTGACAGGAAAAGGAAATGAAGGGGGCACGTTTTTCAATCATGCTAACAGCACCATGGTGACCCCGACACAATCCCACCGACCACTACCAACACCGCCCATCGCTTTTCCCGCAAATGGACCGCAAATGGTAACGTGCGGAAATCCATGCTGTTGCCATTGTAAACGTTTGCCAGCCATTATGCATGAATGCATAGAAATAGATGGTATAGCGCGGTGTTCTGGCTTTCCCCAGCAGCTCCAGGTGCTTCATGTTCCGAGGTGCAGTGGCGATAGTGGGTTAACAAACAAAATAATGAAGCAACAGAGCGCCACCAAACAAAACAAGCCAAAGGCCGCGCCACGCTGGAAAAACAACAAGCAAAATATGGTCACGGGATATACGAGTTTACCATTTTACCTTGTTTTAAGCGAAATAGCGATACGTTGGGGAGTAGAATCTGATGCTTTTTGAGTGTTTTCAAAAAACTAAATCAGTACTTTGAAAGCTTCTAAAATAATGATATAAAAGTGTCTGAGGGGGAAGGTTTGATAAAGTGATTAAGTTTATCAGTTAAAAAATTCCAAAAAATATTTCGATACAATTTTCATTTATTTATCTTTCCTTTAATGGCTTTAAAATATGTCTTAATGACTTTAAGTTTTTACCTGTAAACCAAATTAAATTTAAAATGTGGGTTAAATTACTTTCAAGTAGCCAGCAATCAAGTTCACACTTCCATCATAAATTTAACAGCAGAAAAAGAAACATGAGTAGCTTTAAGTGCATATTAAACACTTCAAAAGTGTGATAAAAAAAAAGAAATTAAATATGTTTAAAAATGTTTATTTTGTGTCGAACTACTAAAAAATTAAATGACATTTATAGAATTACTAAATAATTTAAATACCAGGAAAGTTTTTCCAATAAACTACCTCGCTGTCAACAGCGTGTTAAACACGGAAAAAATCCTTTCCACAATATTTTTATATAACACCTTTCCATGTTTTCCTTTTAGTTTGAACGAACAAAAATAAGTTTTTTGCTGAGATTAGCTTTATTTTTCCCTTCCTTTGTTGTCCAAAGTTTAACGACAAAGCCATTTGGGTTATTGAAAAACTATTTGTAAAATCGGATTAACAAATCCGAAATATGTTCTGCGCTGAATGAGTTTTGTTTTCTGGCTTGTTTTGTATGTTGTGGCTGGGATGGCCTTTCTGGTGTTTTCATAAAAGCTTCATACAATCGTAATCTGGATAAAAATCAGATTATCTATATAGATTTGGGCCACTCGAATTCGACCTTGCGCCTGCTTTTGGCCACAATGAGTCTCGCTGGGTCGATGGGCCACTTGAATTGAAGCGTTAATGACAGAAGCTCGTGTTGTGACAGGCAAACAAAACGCCGCTTAGAGTTTGGCTTCCAGAATGGTCGTCTCAATTGTCCTTTTAGCAGTCCCAGTTGCCTCGCAATCAGAAATGTCCTTTAGACGTACCACACTCCTTGTGGCAAGGACATGCATAGATCATCAAGGCTGGCCAGGTGGTGAGAGAGAGAGCTGGCTTGAAGGTCTTCTGCATTTCTTTGTTGCCTGTCAGATGGCAGTGGTCTAAGCTTGGTAGAAGTATCTTAACTATGTCAAACAGATTTCTTTGCTTTAATATAGACAATGAACTTACTGAGAAGTATTTACTGTGAAAGATAAGAAAGATAATATAGAAGCTAAACGCGGTTATGACTTAGTTTCTCAGTCTGATGCTGGCACCCAAGCTCCCAAGCTCGTAAATATTTTTAGAGATACCCGCTTCTCACCAGCAGAAGCAACCGAGAGCTGTCAGTAGCACAACATGTCCGGAACATTTGCTTTGGGCTTTTGCCGAATTGAGTTCTGGCCACAGCCACATTAGTGGGCTTTCCGAGAGTCCGGGCTCCATTAAATTGAATATGGAAACCGCAGCTGAAAACCACTGTGCAGTGTACCGCCCGCCACCAGCCACCCGCCGCCTGCTGTCTTGAGAGCGATTGCATTGGATGTGCCTGTCAATCAGGCAACAATTGGGTAAATCAGGACTTGGCTGTCCATGCTGGACCCTGCCCATCCATCGTTGCGTAGTCGGAATGCCTAAGCAGGTTGTTTGCCCTATTTGCTGTTGATGATTTCGATGCATCCCAACAGGATGCCATCGGACGGGGGTTTCCACCTGGCTCCATTCAATTATGACAGAAGTGGGGAAGAGAAGTAGCTGATGGAGGCGGTGGAGAAGGATGACTCAGGTGACTCGTGGCTCGGCATATTGATATTTGTTCGACGGACAACGTCTCCTTCGCAGTTTACACTTGAGAAATCAAACGGAATCCCCGACAAATGTCCTAGCCATCTGATCCCCCCTAAAAAAAAAAAGGAGAGAAAAAAACCTGGACAAGGAAATCCCATCGAAAGCCAAGTTCGAGTTTCGATTTATTTTCGCAAGTTTGAAATTTCCTTGGCTATTTGTGTAGCGCTTTTGTTGGCTGCTGCTCATCAAATGGCAAACGACTCAGGCCAGATCAAGGAAAGTGTGAGAAGTTAAAGCCTTGACCTGCTTCCTATCCAAAAAGAGTGAAAGAAGAGGAAAATCCCCTGGCTTGCTGCACGTATCGAAGTCAACCCGTATGTCCTGCTAAACACACACACACACACACCCAGGGAGAGACAAACAACCAGAGATGCCCGAAATCCTTTAGTCAAGTTTCGCAGGATGGCGAATTTATTCCACTCCGTGTCCCCCCCGACAACGTTCTACGCTGCAGATTAGCTTTGTATTTTGTCACAGGAAATTACATTGCGCCTTAAGGATGCCGTAGCGCAAAAATTTCGTTTCATTGTTTGCGCGTTTGTAGTTGTGTGCACCGCCGACTGAGTGCCCGACCTCCTGATCCCAGACTTTGGGCCAGCTAGTCCATGCCTGAGTCCGATTCCCCCTATGGCCCTATCCCCCTTGTCCCTGGTCGGCGGCCATAGCCAGGAACTGCAGACTGGAAAAATCTTTCAGATTTAAGAGCGGAATCGTACACGAAATTTACACTTCAAAATGGGAAAAGTTTTTCGAGTGTTGAAATTCAAAATAGAAAAGAAAATCATAAAAATATATCTCAAAGGAATAATCTAAAAAATATTATAGATACTATATCTTTTGATTATTCAGATTTTTGTATAATTTAAACTTTATCACTTCTCTCACTGTAGTTCTCAGGTATTCTCCGTCTTTTGCCTCTAATCGTGTGTACGTGTGCCATTGCCAGTTGGTGTGAGTTCTCCCGATTCAGAGAATCCTGGCAACTGTCCACCATTACCTTGCCCTCCATCCCAATCTCATCCTGCCCCATTTGTCTCTACATTAGGAGCTGGGCTAACAAAGCTAACACTTCCTGTGTGGACGACGGGTCAATGTGAATGTGACGCACTGTTGTTGCTGCAGCTAGTTTGGCATTCCG